ATTTTAAAAACAGCTCTAATCACCATCTAGAAGAACAAAGGTTCTGACACAGTATTCTTTGCAGATATATCTGAACAATGCCTATGATCACTACTTGCCTTGCTAAAGACAATGAAAGAACTCCGCGAACATTGAAGAGAAGAAGTGTGTGATAAAGAGGCAATAGGAAAAAAAGGTAAATGTTGATTCAAACCAATCATTGTGAAATAAAGTGTGTCTCTTTATTTTGAATCAATTTGACTCAATTACTTAATGAAGCATAGTGGAGGAAATCAGTCACTTGAGTGATTCAACTGTTTAAAAATATTGGAAACAGAAAGGGGGAAATACACTGTATTCAGATTTTTAAAATGAAGAGTGAATAACTTAGAAAAGATGAGAGGATACTGGAAGGGTACCTTTTTACAGAAACAGGAGGATGTAAACAAACAGTCCAACATTAACTCATACTCATTTTTTTCGTGTCATTCAATTGCGTCTATAGGAATCATTTGCTTTTACAGTGAAAGTGTTTCAGTTTTTCTTAGCTTATTTTTTACAGTGCCCCAAATGTGACAGCAGCTTAGTTTACCAGAAGAGCTAAGCAGGGACCCATTCAACAATGATGGTTAATAGCTTATATCGGCATACTGTAGAAGTCCAGAAACTGGAAATGATGGAGAATAGAAAAGAATAAGGAAGAAAAGAAAAAAAAAAAAAAAAAAAGAAAAGAAAAAAAAAAAAAAAAAAACACCCTCAATTATTCTCTAAAGAAAAGAAACAAACACTTCCCCTGATATTCTCCTAGCTGCATGCCAAAAACATATTTGAAATGTTAAACTATTGTTACAATTTCGAAAGCATGAAAATTGCAAAAGCTGCAAGCTGAAAATGCTACAGATAACAGAGAATCACAATTTAGTGGATTTTCACTCCTTCTACTAATAACTGACAAAGGATGCTTTGATCAAGCAGATTCTGTTGACAGAGACTTTCCACAGCAGACAGAAGCTCTTATCTTCAAGCTATGAAACACAAAAAACGTTCATAAAGATCACTTTGAATGCCATTTTCTCTGTATTATGTAAGTTTAGGGATTACTGAGCACAAAAAAGGTGTGTGATGAAAGATACAAGACTTGGAAGATATTCTAGTGCACAGTAATTCACTGCAGTTATTACCATTAAATTGTGCATACTGCTCCTAAACATTGTTCCCCATATAGCAGATGTGTCAATGGTTCTAGCAATTTCCATAAGCAAAAATTCTAACAAATGGATCAACCTTCAAAAAAAAGCAAACAAAAAAAAAGAAAAAAAAAAAGAAAAAAAAAAAAGAAAAAAAAAAAGAAAAAAGAGGCTTTCAGCATATACAATAGCTCTTTCCTCTCTTAAGTCCAAGCACTATCTCTGGAATACTACAAGTCATTTAGCATGCATTTCAGTAACTTACAAAGTAGAGAGTAAGGGGTTGTTACTAGATAGAAGCACTTAAAGAGTGCAGTGCCTTACTTTCATTTTCAAAACATCTTGGTAAACCAATTAAAACAGCTTTTATTTTAAACATTTGTTATTATATTCAGCACTTTTTCCACCATCGTAAAATCATTTAAGTAGCCTTTCAATATTGAGTATCCTGTTATAATTTTACAGTTGGCCTTCCAAAACATTAAAGAACTTGACAGGGTTATGAATCACAGAATATTTGCCTCTCTGTGGACTAATCTATCACAAAGACTGAGATCAGATCTTTATCTAAAGGGCTGGTGTTGATTCAAATTCTGGGCAAATTAAACTGGAAGAGTGTGTGATTACCTCACATACATATCCATACTGCTCGTATAGCTTAGGTTTTTTAATTACTCCTAAATCATTGCGACTTTCAAACCAATATATTAAAGCTAAATCAGTAAGCCTACATGAATTTGCAATACAGTGTACAGATGTATCATCCCAAATCAATATTAACTCCTCACTGGTTCGTACGTGAGCATACACACTGTCTCACTGAAGACCAGAGTATATCTCATACCTCATTTTTGGGGCAGACGTATCTAAATCAGGATTGCTTCACACATATCCAGTTTTACAACAAACTCACATTTGCCACGTAAAACCTTATGAAATACAGTATGGATACAACAGTTTCCCTAAAGGAATGGGCTTCCCTATGATGGTCTATCACATTCAGTGTGACCTCAGCCTGTAGGTGGTGACTGAGACATTTTCTCCATTGCAAGAGAGATCATTTCATTTCATCGCCTTTCAGAACTAAACAATCAAAATGAAACTGATAAGAAAGACAGTATCCAGCTTTTTATTATTATTTTGTTTTCTTCTATTGTATTTTGATTTATCATTTCAATTTTGCCAATATTATCATTCAGTGACCATTCTCAAGATTATTAACTGCTTCAAAGCTTTAGTTGATTTTCATCTAAGCAATGCCAACAATGTAAGCGACAATTGAGTATTCATTTCTCTACCAATTCACAGACAATCAGATTCATTCCAACCTTGAGACTCAGCTATCATCAGTCACCTTAGCCTATAAAAATACTCAATCTACATAATATGAAAATGTAAAAACCTGGGATCATAAGGAGTTCTTTCTTCTAGAAAACTACAGGAATATTCTGTTAGCATACCTTTCAGACTTCAGCTATGTACGTTCACAGAATAGGTCAAAGAATTGTCTGTTGTCCTTATGTGTTTGAAGTACTTGGAAAAGAGCCTGAAATCCATGAGCATGTTTCTCTGTACGTTTCTACTAGTTATTTTGGGGTTACTTTTTTAGAATTCATACATAAAGAAAAGGATGGATAAATTCTGGTACCAAACTAGGAGCAATTCTTCACATGAAATAAAAATTTCACTTTTCTCTATTGAAGTAAGTTGTAGGAGTTTCAGAGAGAATGAGTGCAATGTGGCTTTTAACTCTGGATCTAATTCAAAATCTGTCAAATTTAAAGAAAAAATTTCTATCAACTGCCAGTTTTAAGAATTAGTAATTAAACTGTTTCATGGAGTTTCTAATCTGTGCGAAAGAAAAAGAAAATAAAAATCATTGCAGTTTGTATGGGAACTGTTGAGTAACAGCTTGAACCACTGATTGATCACCTGAGGCAAGGACTAGGTCAGCCGTGGGAGCACAGGTGAAGGAAATTCACCTGTGTGACCAGAAAGGGTGGAGCCTGGCTCCACCTCTCCTAGACCCTATTTAAGGGCTGACTGCTCCTAGGTAAGGATCTCTTTCTGGAGATCTCTCCTTTTTGCGGTTTTCTACTCTGAGTCTAGGATACAGGTGAGTATTTAATTTTTGATTGTCTCTTTCTATCACAGGGAACTTTCTAGCTAGAAACCTGTAAAATGCTATTCTAACCACACCACTCTTCTAACTGTACATTCGTTAATTGTACACAGTTTTATATTATTCATCCATAGCTTTTAAATCAAAGTATCATTTTTGGCATTGGCCATATTTTAGGAGGTCACATTACTTTGTCTATAGTATGCCTTTTCAAATAATGGTAAGAATAATACCAGGCTTCAAAAACTAAAGGCGATACCTATGGGGGGAGACAGGGAGGACACTGGAGAAAAAAAATAAATAAATAGAAAAAATTAGGTGGCTTTTAATAGAGTTAATGAAAGAATTTTCAGATAATTCTTGCCTGCTGGTACCAAACCTGTGTGCAAGATAAAATCTCCAATATAAGGGATCAGTTTGAATCAGTTAAATCATAGGATGAGAGGTAATGACCTTAAGTTGCACCAGGTGGTGGAGGCACTGTCCCTGGAGGTGTTCACAGAATCTGTGGATGTGATACTGAGGGATACAGTTAGTGGGCATGGTAAAGATGGCTGATGGTTGGATTGAATGATCTCAGAGGTCTTTTCTTTATGATTCTTTAATAATGTACATCTTTCTAGAATTACCCTACTTTGTCACTAGCTTTAAAATTGATCTGTGTTCACTGAAAACAGAAAATCTTCACATTGTTTCATGTAAACTCATTTCCCCATTTTTAGCTGTAGTACTTTTATCTTCCTTCATACCTTAAATTTGCTAGTAAAAACACTTCAATATATAACAGATGTGCCCATGAACATTGCATTAAATTTATTGCATATAGAGCATTCCTAACATTTTCATTCCTTCTCTTCTCATGTGGTGAACACCTGCATCTTTTTACAAAAAAATGTGGTTGAGGAGGAGAGAGTGCTTGCTTTGCTTGCAACTTACTACTTTTCTGCTTGTATTTTTATAGCAAAACTACGCTTGGATACCTGTTTTATATCCCTACAAGTGCATGTGTTACACATAAATCATGTACACATATTAAATATCTCTGAACTAAGCAATTCAATTGCTTACACAATTCACGAAGTTCAAACTTTTTTTGATTTGAGATGATTGATATCACTATTGCAACATTTTACAAATGAAGTGTCATGATTGGAAAACCTGTTCTATGATTTTAAAATGTGACAGATGTTAACAAAATGGAGGACTTTATTGAGGTATATTTTATAGTTATTAGCAAAATAACTCATGAAGTAATGTTCCTACTGCCAAATCTGGCTTCCTGCTTCTAAGCAAGTAGGCATCAATGGCAATTTTTTCAAGAATTTCATGAACCTTCTATTGAGTAGAATATCTCATTTTCAGAATATCACAGAAAAATAAAACTATTTTCTACTCAGATCCTCAAAGATACCTGAATAGCTGGACTTAAAGAACAGTGTAACTCATCAGGTATGTGTTTCAATGATGGCCAATTTTAAAAAGCACAAACAGTGTAGGATCAACTGGATGAGTCACAGAAATGCAAATGATATTATAGGCTTTACTAAAATATGTGCCTGTACAACTGACATAAGGATGTAAGCCTATATTTCCTAAGTACTTTCTTCTGCAAGCAAGCCTAGAGTCATTGCTCCACTCTGTGCTTTCTGCATACCAAAGTAGTTGTTTAAATTTGATAAAATCAAAGCAGTTGTTACATATTTATTGAAGCTTTTTATTGTAAATTTGATAGTACAAAATATAAATGTGGGACAAAGAACAGAAATTATGATGAAGACTACTGAACAGTCACAGGACTTCTGAGGAATTTAATGAACAGGAAAACGGTTACAGTGTTTCTGACTGAATGCTAATTCAGTTAAGCCCAAAACTCTCATTGACATAAATAGGAACTTTATATGAGAACAACAGTATGTTGTCCATGCTATTGATGACACAGTAGTTCTGTACTACAGAGAATTTTCCCCATCAGTAATTATCAGGATACAGTGTAAAGGTACACATAAGGAAGCTCAAACTCTTTGTGGTCCCAAATGAAGAGAAAAACATCCTGACCCATAACAGGTTTGAGGCCCTAGTAAGAAATGAGTTCACAGAAAAGATATGTAGACAAAGAATTAACAAATAATAAAGGCAAAACTAACGAAAAATACAACAACAAAATAAAACACCATAATTAACAGTGAATAATTTGTGTTCTAAATGCTGACATCAAACCTGCATACTACTTTCCATAAAATGCATGAGTGCTCTGGATTCATATTTGTGTGCTTGGAAATTTTTGTTAACTAAATTGAAACAAAACCAAAATTAACCCAAAGGATGTTTATTCCATCCTGATTTTACATGAGATCTTTGCATCATTTTCTATTATTTCTTACTTAATGAACACTGACATAGATAATCAAACTGTGTGCTGATACTGTCTTTCTTAAAATATGTCCTATCTGAAAAAAAAGCATTCAAAAATTTATTACATTAATTAGCTAATTTATGTAACACTTTGATGATCCAAAGTACAATACATGTGCAGAGTATTATGGTTTTTTTTATTCCATTTACTGTGGTCTTTCCTTTAGCTAGACCATTCAATTAAAAAGGAATAATCAGGGAGTGCATGAAGGATAATTACCTATTTTATGATAATTTACATCTTTTCTCATGTCCTTTGGCTAAAATTAACATCAAGATATCTAATTTATGGCAATCCCCAAGAGAAAATCTCAAAACAAGAGAAAGAAATAAAGCAGCTCAAAGTTGAAAACAGATCCAGAAATGAGCACAGATCTCAAATCATGTCTGTCTTTTGCAATTGTGAAGTCTGGCCCTTCTTACATCAATGATTAATGCTAAAACTTCTGTCTTCATACTGGCTAAATATAACACACAGCAATTCCTTGACCCATATCACATTAGTTATCTATATAATACAGAACACATTGCCACAACAATTCTTTTCCACAACTATGAACACCAAGGTAAAATTTTGGCTTGTTTACAAGTAATGAAAGTTTGACTGGTCGTCCGTGTGTATCAATATTTAATCCAGATGTTTGTGTTTTGCTTTCATATCTAATTATTACCTTTGATTTTCTGGCCACAAGATACTAGTTTAGCTGAAAAATGCAGAGAAATAGGAGTTTTTGTTGGCTTTTCCATTTCTATCCCAGTCTTCAACCTGATATCATGCTGAGTTCCACCTAAAGGCTCCTTCTGGCTGTGCATCTATGCCTAATAATAAAGTATGAACTGAGATGACAGCAAATTGGTGTTTAAGTCTAGATCACTAAATCTACTCCTGGTACTGAATTGCTGAAACAGTGTTTAGGTAGGTACAGCTGAAAGAATAATATGTGGAGCCTGGCTCCAATTCTCTTAGACTCCATTTAAGGACTGAGTGGCACTGGGGAAGGATCTCTTTCTGGACAAAGTGTGGAGCTTTCCCCTGTGAACCTGGAATCCAATATGGTAAGCAATCTTCTTCCCTTCCTTTATAGAACCCTTCTATCATGCTGATCCTTCTATCATTGCACCTCTGGTGAAACACCTTCTCCCATCATATTGATCTGTTCAACTGCTGCAACCACAAGTAATGTGACTGAGATCATATGTTTGCCCTCTGTTTTCAAGGTACTCAAATGCTTCTCAGTGTTCTCAACTTCTTACAAAGCTGCTGTATGCTCAGTCTATGCATGCTTTATATCCTGTTTGGGATTAAGCCTTATAGAAAGGTTGTACTGTATCATTTATTTATGAACAATATGTAGTGAGACAAAGAACAGAAATGGAGAGAAAATTCATCTTTGTATTATTTCTTGATGAAGAGAAACATAATAGAATTTCTGATATAGGAGGTGCTAAAAGTAGCCCACTTTTTTTAAAGAACACCCTTCATGTACTGGGGAAGTCTTTTACAAATTCTTTTTTCTGGTAAAAATGAAGACTAACAGTTATTTGTTGATAGCACTCATGCAACCAGCACATTTATTCCTCTTCTTCCATTTCACTTTCATCTATAGTCTGTTTTCATAACCTGATAATTACACAGGCATGTCAGTGGTAAAAGACTGTGATTTCATTGCAAGAAGAGAAATCAAACAGATGAACTGTGAAGAAAAGCACAGAGAAAAATACAGGTCAGCCTTCCCTAATATTTGTAGTAACAACAGCAGTTTAGAAAATACATGTTTCAGATTCATGTGTATGGGGCTTTTTCATTGGTTAGTATTTACAGATCTGTTATCAACTGTCTTTTTTAGCTGGTTATTAAATTTATTAAATCTGTCCTCCCAGATAGACCCAGAAATGCAGTTTGGTTTTGCTTTTGAGCTTTGCTGGCCCAAACAACTTTCCTATTCTATCAGCCAGAAGGAGAATATTCTGAAATGTTGGCAGTGCCCTGTGTCCTACACAGTGGAATTTAAAAGCACTCATGCTAAATGCCCAGATTTCTAGCTGAAAAGCATGATAGTCTGAAACCAAACACTGCTTGCAATAATAGTCTGTGTTGCTGTCTGAAGAATTCTTAAATATATTCATGTTGTTCTGTGTTATCCTTTGCAATTTGCCAAATCTACATCATCAAATCTTTCATTTAAACACCCACCCAGAAGAGACCCTTTGCTTTCATCTTCTTTGTTTCTTATCCTTTCCTCTAGGAAAAAAAAAAAAAAAAGGCACTTATTTGGTTCACATAAGCAAGAACACCAGTGTTACAAGAAACATTGGGGCTTTATTTATTTTTTTTTTTAATTTAGATGCAGAGCAATGACTAGTTTTGACTTCCTTTGAGAGAAGCGCACATCAACAGGAAGATAATAGAAAAGAGATAACAGGAGAGGGAACAAAATAGACTAGGAGTATTATCAAATACTTCCCTGGAAAAAATGTGGGTTTCATAAATCACTGATAATTACCAAATACTTGGTCCTGTTGCAGGTTCCAAAGCAGATGAGCCCCAGGGATAGAGACCTGAAAATAAAGGGTCAATTTACCTAATTTCATAATTACAATAAAATTTTTTTTCCACTACTAGTAAGGCCCAGTTTGTTTCACCATTCCATTTTTTAACCTTTTCATAAGCAATTAAATTGATAGCAGTGCCTCCCCCACAGTCCTCTAGGCAGAGCACAGGGCCAAGCACAAGCAAATTTCCCAGCCTTGGAACACTGTAGGATGAGTGTGGGTAAATTTGGCAAAAAGAGGTGCCCACAGGGACAGGAGAAATAGTATGTGTTAGCATTTCTGGGCTACAGGGAGGACAACTGACAGCTGAAAGATTAGTTGTAAAATTGAACAGACCAAAAGGCAGCTGCAGGATTATTTTGGAGGGCATGTTTTCCCTCTTTCCTCAACCCCAGGATCATTCAAAGCTGTACATTTTATGTTGTTTCAGAGAAGGTCTGCAAGGGACAACACGCAGTGAAAATGAAGGGAAATGATCACACCATCTCCTTTAGTTTGTAATTCAGTGCTCTGAGTTCTTTTCCTCTTCAACTTTCCATAAGAAACTATGTCTATGTATGCTGAATGAGGATCTCATTGTACACATTTGGTCCTTTGAGTTGTACCATGGTTTGACGTCCATTAGAGTCTATTAGACTAAGCCAAAGATGTCTTCTTTCCTGACAGCAGGCAGACTACCACTTTGAATTGAAATTCAAAATTGAATTCCATTGGGGTTTACGGGGGGGAGGGGAAGATTTTTTTCAGGCAGAAGGCTAAGCTAAAAATAAAAACTGAGCCCCAGTTGTGAATGCTTCTTTATTCTTCTCCTCTGCCATCCTAAATATTCAAATACTGCTACATTTGAAAAAATAAGGATAAGGGAAATGAAAAATAACTGCTACACAAGAGTTCTTTCCTGTACTGCCATTTTGATAATCACTTTAAATCACCTGATTTTAATGTGCTGGTTCTCAAAAGAAACCATGAGGTAGCAAAGTTATTGTGTGCTCACTTAAGAAAAAGTCTTAGAGATATTGAAGGTAACACTGAGTTGTTGGAAAAGAAATGTATTCTCCCAACTCTAGTTCTCTCTACACCTTGACCACTTCACTCTTTGTCATTACAAATTGCAGCCTGTTAGCCAAAGCAAGGTACAACCTGTACTCTGCTCTGAGCTATCTTTATTTTGTGTTTTCACTAACTTCATGAACTGTAGCACCATTCAGAGGATGAACTCTTCATATTTCTGAAGAAATAGAGTTTCACCCACTTTGTTGCGCTTACATCCCTAAGGGACTGAGTTAGAAGGTACAAAAACAGCAGAACAGTTAAACTAGGAAAACAAGCAGTTAAAATAGGAAAGGAAGTTAAATTACTATTAGGAAACCAAGTTCTTCAGCAGTACCAGAGCTATTATTTAAAACTTTGCTGCATCAACTTCATCCTCTTCAACATTTACATTTTTATTACTATTTGTAATCAATCCTTGTCAATGTGATTTTACCTTTAAATGAAGAGTTGCTAAGAAAAAGCCAAACATTCATTTTGGCATTAATAAATCTTGTGCGACATGCTGTACATCCACATTAGGAGACACAAATCTGAAAGAGTTTACAAACCAGGCAGAAAAGGTGAATGAAGAACAAAGAAAATAATATTTTTGTTTTGATATTGAGAAACTGATACAATGCCTATTCTGAAAGATAAAAATGCTTACAAAAAAAAGCTTAAAGAAGACAAATCTTCCAATGTTATAGACAGTGTTGATTGTTTGAACACACGTAAAGTGCAAGTTTTAGAGGGGATGTAATTCTTTTCATTACAGGCAGCTTGAACTCAACCTCCATTTAGGCTATATACAAATACCTTCCAACAACAAGCAATACCATGGAGACCCTTTAAAATCTCAGGCCATTTTTGCACAGTGTTGTGTAAAAGCCACGTGGGGGATTAAATTTGACTATGTGCATAGAGCCCACCAAGCTGCTTTCTTCTCCACTTCAGTAGGACAACAGGAGAAAAGATGAAAAAGCTCATAGTTCAAGATAAGGACAGGGATATCACTCACCCATAATTCTCATAAGCAAAACAGACTCCATTTTGAAAAGATTAATGTAACTTATTGCCAATTAACAATAAAGTAGGTTAGTGGTCACAGACACAAAACCAGTGCTACTCACGGCTGAGCTCTGGCCAGCAGTGGATTGGATCCCTTTTGGAACCAGCTAGAATCAGCTTTTATTTGACATGGGGTAGTTTCCAGGTTCTGTTCACAAAGGCCATTCCTGCAGAACCCCTGCTGCCAAACTCTGGGCATATAAACCCAATACAGGCCCTAAGCACAAGGAAAAGGTAAATAGGCTACTGCTGCTCTGGAATGTAGTAAGACGACAACCCCCAAGGTTTTTCCCTTCAGGACTCTATCAGCTGTGGTCCGAGACTGAAGAAGCTTATGTTCACCAGTCATAAGAGCACATTATTAGAACAGAAACATTTTGTATTAGCATTATGACACAGTATGGTCACATATCTGTTCACCAGCTGCATGCAGCATGTTCAGTCCTGTTTCCTCACTCATCTCTAATCTCTGCGTAGTGAAGAGAAGAAAACACACATCAAGGCATCAGCATTGCCAGGACCAAACCTCAGAAAACACCAGAACTCACTGTTCACTCTGCAAGAGATACAATGACATAAATTTAACTGATGAGTAGGTCTGGACCTGAGGCTTGTGCTTAACTGACAATACATATACACTCAGCAAGATAGGATGGCATCCCCCAGATCACACAGGAAGGGTGTGGCAGAACTAAACTCTTCTAATAAATAGTTTTCTGCACAACATAAATCTTACCCTGTGATTGAATTGACTGTTTTCTACAGCTGCACTTCCTTGCTTTTCTCTTCTATGCCATTATTCACAGCAGAGTTTTATTTTAAATGTCTATAAAAGCAAAGGCTACACCCACAGATAAATAAGGAAATAAATAGCTTTGTGGATCTGGGTCTCTATTCTCAGAGCCCATTGTCTCCACTGTGTTTTCTTTTCAGACAGCAAGCATCTCTATGACAAATGATTATGGCCGTATTCAATTTGAGCACTGACAAATGAATACAGGTTGAGCAGGGGGGAAGAAGAAAGTTATAGGGAGTAAATACTCAATTTGAAGAAAAAAAAAAAAAAAACAAAAAAAAAACACTTATGCCATAAAGCACATCATAATTTTCAACTGAAAAGGACATCTTCATTTTCTAAATGGGTCTTTTAAAATGATAGGCAATAATGGGAGAATAAGTCCATTATTCATTTATAAGGGAATTAGCATAACAAAGCTGCTTAATGTGAGAGTTCAGAAAGCTCTGATTAATAAATTAATCCTTACATTTTACAATAGATCTCCTTTTTTTGTGAATAGTTTCTATAAGAAACTACTTCAATAATCTCACTGTTTTTTAAAAAATTTAACTCTTCAGAGAACAGAGATCAAGATGAAATTCACATTATGTACTTTGGTACATAAGGGTAAAAGCTGCAGACAGAGAGTTCCACTGGTGGTCATGCAAACCATAAGGATACATATCACACTGCTGCCGCTAGCAAAGCAGCACAATTTAATCTGAACAGAAATGAAAATAAAGGCAAAAAATAATTAGTAGTCTCCAATTCAGTAAAGTAGCCTGAATAGACAGGGTTTTTTTTTTTTTCCTAATCTCTTGAAATCCCTCTCATAATTGTTCTTTCTATGCCATGCTTTTCAGTGTGGATACACTGCATTTTAAACTTGCCTGCTCTTCCTTAAATAGACTACATAACAATTAAAAGTCTCTTCTGAGAAGAGCCTGTTCCACATGAAACATTTTCCGTGTTAAGTCATAGGTCTCTCTCCTGTTTTGTGAAAACAAATAAGGTATTATTCACAATTTTTTTTTTACTTAAAGAAAAAAGCTTCTACTTTTTCTTTTTTTTTTTTTTTTTTTTTTTTAAATTTAGGCTCAATTAAATTAACCCTTTTTATCTGGATACCCCATTACAGGGCTTGATTCAGATTTATTTTATTAGTAGCATTGTTCCTAAGTAGATGTAAGTAATGCAATTTTATGTATGGCATCATTCCATGTCTACTTCTGTATTAACAATTGTATATAGGAGCTTCTTTTTGCAAGAGAACACTAATGAAACCATTACTTTGTGATTCTTTTCCTCTTTCCCCTCATAATTCACCTCTAATGCTGTTATTTCTTCTGTGCAGATGTAATGGCAATGGACAAATCTTTCTGATTGCTATTGGAGAATCAGAAAGGATGCTTACAATGGGAATCTTCTGATAAAGTGTTAGTCACAATACAGTGAATTCCACAAAGAATCATCACATCACACCATGCTTGATGCAACTTGTTCCAGATTGCTTTCAAAAGCCTTGGTGACAGGGTTAATGATATAGTAACAACACAAGAAATGTGTAAAAGCAGAATTAATTACTTGTAGTTTCACCTTGAACAATGTGAAGATCACTTGAAAGTTATTAAAGTATGCTACGACTGTTTTGATTGCACAGTGACAAAAACAGAGGGTCTGACAGGTTGATCTCCTACATTTAGGAGTCCAGTTTCCTGGATAGGAAGTCATACCATTAGCATTATGTCCTTCCTATTGGGTAACACAAGTGGAATTTCATTTTCTGATCTACAATCTGAACGTCAATGAAGGAACCTCTCTTTTGTACTGTTCTGATAGCCAATCTCATTTCTTGTATTACTGATCTTTGCTCATTCACCTGTAGCCTCTTCTGGTGCTTTCAACTTGTCTATTCTCATCACACCTTTACTCTGCAAATATAAGAGAAAATACCCTGCTTTATTGGATGAAGTAGGACAACAGGAGGAAAAATCATTGTACACAAAAACAACACAATACATCTAGACTGCACAGCAGTTCTCCACAAATCCCTTTTACTTCAGATGCAAGCCAGAAGCAGCAGATCTTTAAAAGGAAAAAGGTTGACAGATTACATTCTCTGACAAGTCTCACATTGCAAGACAGAGAAAGCACTTTTAGAAAATTGTTCCTAATTCATGTTTTATTGCAAATTAATGATGCAAACAGGAAAACAAACTCCATTACTTATCTCTGCTAGAATTCTTCCAAAGAACCTTCAGCTAGAATTTCATTTGCTACTTTTATCATTATTATTTTGTTTTATTTTAAAATATATTTATTATTTTCATTGAATTTATTGTTATTTGTTGCCTAGAATGGTTTTGAAAGAGCTGCAAAAACTTGGTGAAATCTATTTGGCAAAGTAACACTGTTTATTCAAAAAAAAAAAAAAAAGTTTGCCAAGATCATAAGCCTAAGGGTTCTATCATTTAAATCTCCTGCTCAATGAAAAAAAATAAAAGCCCTTAGAATTTAGTGCTTTGGCACTCAGTTCATGCTTCTATTTAATTGTTCTTCCCTTTGGCATTGTTGTTACAAAGAATCCATTTCCACAATTTCCTTTTGTGTCCTATTCATATTATTCCTCAGTACATTCTTACTGAGGAAGATGTTGTTTTCAACTGTTTCCCACATCACACATACAGAAACCACTTTCCTTGCCCAGCCCTAGTTGCAAAGCAGAGGCTTGGTGGCAGCTGTTGCCTTGTCATCTTGAAAGTTCTGTTCTAATGTTTTCTCACTCTACTGATGTTGCTTTATGCACACGTACCTTTTTTTGAGTGACTATGTGTACTTTCCAGTCTTCATTGTGAACCTACAGGCAGAAATCCATCAGATTTCATATCAATATTCTGATTATTAACTGACCAATTAATGACTGATTAACTAATGAAGTTAATATCTGATATTAACTTCATTACTTAACTGGTAACTGTGGATTTCTGTTTTAGAAAGCAGATCTATTGTATTATTGTTTAGAATTTCCAGCGATGAAGAAAAATTATACCACTAACCTTTTAGTCTTAAAATTAAGATCCACCAATTCTCTTTCATTTCTGTCATTAGTGCCTTTAGACCTAGAGAAGAAGTTCTTGTTTGTTGACTAAGCTTCTTTCAGGAAGCTTTTCATCAAAACCAGATGAGCCAGTAATCACAGTCAAAACAAATGATAGAGCCTAATAGAATCACACTGATACTCTGTCCACAGATAGGCTACAAGTTAAAAACAATAACGTGTAATTTGAGGCACATGACATTTCAGTTCTGGTTAGCTGGGAAGAGTAATACACGAGCCACAAGCAGATCCATTAATCTCAACTAGCCAGAGAGGGAACTGCATGTATAACACCTCATCTAGTTTTATTTACTTTGCTATGCACTGGGGCTTTCCCATGAAATTCATTATTATAGTAAAAATGAAATTCTAGAGATATTCCAAGTTATGCAAGTATTTTTGCATACTGCACTGTGAATAAAATTTTTGCACAAGTGCAAACCTATTTAATAGGTCATTCTAGAGTCCTGCTTTCTTTTGAATAGCATATTTGTAATGGCACTTCTTTCTAAGCACAAGGGTAATACAGAAAATGAGTCACAAATATAATCAAGTGCAACACTATTTCTACTTCCTAGATCAGGAAAGGTGCCCCAGAGCTGCTTTCTTTACACTTTCTTTAATATTACAAAGCTTCTTTGTAATGTGCTGTGAGTCAGGGAAGCAAAGACAAGACAACAATCCTGGCCATGACCATGTCTTACCTTTAGCTTCAGGCTCAAGTGCCCTAACCCAGAAGCAGGTATTGAAAGTCATTCAATTTCAATAGAGGGTTCAGATCTTCTCTTTGCCCAATTAGCCATTTGGTTTACAGTGTTGGTTCAATGATAGGTATCTAACACTTGCCTGTTTCTCTTCCTGAGATGTCAGTATTACTGTAGGAGGAAACAAGACTATCAGTTAGCTAGATATGGTGTCAGTCAGCCAGTGTGCTAGGGATAAAGGACAGAAAGCACCAGATACAAGTTAACAAATAAAAAGAAATAAATCTTCCTGTTTCATAAGTTAAAGCTTAAGAAAAGCTTTTAGACAAGGGAAGATAGGTGTATACTGATGCAGGTATTCATTATCTGTACCTTAGCATTTAGGGACTAGCAAAAAGAATGAAAGTCCAGGTCTTCTGATAGACCGCATTATAACTTAGCCTGAAGCCTTGAAACCTAACAGGAGCAGACAAAATTTGAGGGCTACATTGGAAGATAGACTTCTGAACTTCAGTAACCTCTGTTAAAAACTACTCTAACACAAAGCCTGTAGAAAAAGAAACACAATCCAGTTTCTCTCTCACCACCAGGGAAAGTTTAGCCTTATCCTATTTAAATTGTTGCCTACAACTACCCGTATGCTTAAAAAGATCATCACATCACAGATTCCAAATCAAGTAACACCTGCCAAATTTACTACAGTGCTTCTTGTGGATGTTAGCATATCTCTTTAAAAATTCAAAAGATGATCAAGCAAATCAAGAGCAGCAGCAGAAACAAGAAGAAAATAAGGAACTCAGAACATCCTGCAAAAGTAATATATTTAAATATAATCCTCAAAGCAGTTATTACAAAACACATGCCATAGATTCATAACCAGTTGTTCTACTTACAAAGATGTAGAATCACTTCCACGAGGTTCATGGCAACACCAGATGAAGTATTCACAGGGAGGCTAATAGCCACATCCAGAAAGAAAAATTGAATTCACTCAGCTGGTGAACAGTCTCTAGCAATATAGCATTTCTTCTTAGGAAATAGCCAAGGTATAGAAGGAGCTCTCCTGTTCTGTGGCTGGCCCTTACATGAGCCCAGGGTGACTCCACCCTGGGTCCAGCCCTCTCTGAGCACACCAGATGCAAACACAGTGTGTGCTCCCTGGGCCAGCCATGCCCCTTCACCAGGTGCTCAATCACCAGCTCAAGCCCTGACTTAACAGTTATCCTACATCAGTAAATGAAGAAAATGAAGGCAACTGAATACAATTTTGTAACGTTTTCAGCAGTGCGGGTGGTGTGGTTATATGGTTGACCTCTGGAATTTGGATTGTATTTGTGGAGACCCTCTATGAAGGTGAAGAAATGTTTTCAGAGGATGATTTTATTTTAAAGAATTCTGAAAACTTGCTATGTTCTCTAATGCTAAAACCTGGTAAGATGTCAGAAGGAGATTTGTTGTGTAGTTAATATCTCTCAATGCCCGTACTAGAAAATTTGTAACTGGCTATGCTAAGGAAATAGTTAATTTTTTTGTTAGACCCTAGGTTTTAACTACAATTATTATGTTTTCTGTTTCAGTCTTCTATATTAATGCACCTTGTTCATAATTTTTGTATTTTTTTAACAGAATCCTTTTGTAAATTACACATACAGTAAATTTTCCGCTTGGAAAATAGTATTAGTTCTTCTAGGCAAAAAATTAGCTACCCTTTCTCCTATTAAGAGAAGTAACAATTTCACGGGGATGATGAAAAATGTTATATGTTTGCTACAATACATCTGAATATGAAGATTTTTGTTATATTGTTTGTTATATTTGTTATATGTAAATATTGCATGGTACTTTAAAAGATCTTGTAGAGGTTAAAATACAGAATATGAAGTTTGAAGTGTACTGCAAGTATATTTGAGACCTTTCTGATATTATTTCCTCAGAACATGTAGAAGGTACAGGAGCTACCATGAGCTAGGCAAAGCTACTGATGTCTCATGTGTCACACCATTTGGTATGTTACTCTACAAACACTAGACTCATTAAAGTAAGTGTAAAAGCAATCGAGTTAGAATAGACTTTTTTTTAAACCACATGTAAGAATTTCAAAAGCTACTCACACTACAGTATGCTTAGGTGATTTGAAAATGCTATTCAAAAAAAGGTAAGGTTTTCACAAAACAAGGAATCTGAATAAATTTCTCTACCAAAGGTAAGTAATTGAAACTGTAGGAAGCTTAAAGAGGCAGGTTCCTTTCTACACATCTCAGGAAAGCCACTGTCAGCATGAATATTGCTAACTTCAAGCTTTCAAAATTAATGACTCAGACTAAAAAAGTTTTATCATTGGTCTAAAACTCATTATGTTAAATAAAGCTTTGTGGCCCCTATGTTCTTTTTCTACATCCCTCTCTTTAAACTATCTTCTTTGTTTTCAGGTGCATTTTCCTAACTCCGGAGACCAGAAAGCTACAAATTCTGCCAGTGAACACCAGGCACCCCTTCAAGCCTCAGTCACAGGAATCAGTAAAATAAAAAAGCTATATACTGTACTTCTTGTGATTAAAGCAGTTTCTATTTCATCCTTTGTATGAGAAGAGCATGGAAGATAGGTCTGCGGATGTTCAATTTAGTAGCATGAGTAAAAGTGGTTTGACAGGTATGACCACATATTTTCCCCTTTCTAAAAGAAGGTTAGAATCACATTTAAAATGTAGAAAGTCCTTCTAAAATCAGAGAGGAATGATACATTGCAGTTAAACTCACATTAAGAACATCTGCAGTTGCTCTCACTGTTTTTTCAGTTTTGATGAAGAAAAATGGAATTGCAGTGGACTCTGCAAATCTTCCTCCATCTCTTTAGTTAACCAAAAGGCAGTCTGGAGGTAGCTCTGCTGAACAAGAATGGGGGATTCTGGACTACAGTGAGCAAATAGGAGCCAGCAGCGTGTACTATATACGCTGTACTGTACAGTATCACTAGAGAAAGTTATTTACCTGGCACTTGTTAGACCATCTCAGGAACACCACAACAAGCTTTCAACTGTTGGGTAGGAATAAGAATTTTATAGGGAAAAGCAAATTTTTTTTAACTATTTCCTGTCATAGAATCACAAAGTTGGATAGGAGCTACAAGATCATCTAGTCCAACTGTCCTCCCATTACCATTGTTACCACAAGCCACTAACCCATAACTTGTACTTGTTCATGTACTTGTACATGAACACTGCCAGGGACAGCAATTCCACCAACTCCCTGGGCAGCCATTCCAGTGCCTGACCACTCTCTGAGAGAAAAAGCTTTTCCTTATGTCTGACCTAAACTTCCTCTGGTACAAATTGCAGCCATTTCCTCGGGTCCTGTTTGTTGCCTGGGAGAAAAGGCCAAACCCCTCCTCATCACAACCTCCCTTCATGAAGTTATAGAGTGCAACGAGGCACTGAGCCTCCTTTTCTCCAGACTAAACTATCCCAGCTCTATCAGCTGCTCCTTGTAAGATTTGTACTCCAGACCAGTCAACCAGTTTCATTGCACTTCTCTGGACATGTTCCAGGACATGAATGTCTTTCTTGTAGTGAGCGGCCCAAAACTGAACATAATATTTGAGGTGCAGCCTCACCAGTGCTGAGTACAGGGGGATGATTACTTCCCTGTTCCTGCTGGCCACACTACTTCTAATGCAGACCAGGATGCCATTGGCCCTCATGGGCACCTTTCATCTGGGTTCACAACATTACCACCTCCAGAAAGATTCCAGTACAAAACATGCATTGATATAATTATATTTGAGCAATTATTCTCATTAGTAAAACGTTTCTTTTGTTCTACATTCTTTCTAGTTATTTTTAAAAACAGTCCCAAGTAGTGTTTAAATTTATTTTAATGGTGTATTAGCTTATCAGTTTGCCTGATCAAGGTAAGAATGACAAAATTGCAGAGTGGACACCTCAAAGAAAATTTAATGCTAGTGAACTGTCAAAATCATCACCCTCAGATTTCAAAAAACTGACATAAAAAAGGCAAGTGTTTGTTTTTTTTATTAAAAAGAGGTTGCAGTAGCAATTCAGATATAATCATGTTGTCCAAAGATTGAACTGTCAGAAAGCAAATGATTTTTATCAGATTTTGCAGGTGACCATTAAGAAACCTGTTAGTGCCTTTGAATCAAAGGCAATTATTTATATGTTTATGCTGAAGTAATTGTTACCCTGAAAAACATTTTTTTCAGGCACTAATTTGCTTTATGCCTTCAATATTCCAAGAGGAAAGTTTTCTGCTTGTTCTTATTGCTTTTGTTTTCAGTTATTGAAGCGGAGCTTATAATACTGAAGATTGTGTGAATATAAAGAGGGAGCCAAGATTTCACCAAAACTTTTTTTCTTTCTTCTTCCTCTATCATGGTGATGGCTATATATATATGTATGTGCATGTTAAAGCACAATATTTTTTTTTCTTATTTTTTAATATATTCTGTGTAAACATCTGAGGTATGAAGACACCACTATTTTGAGCTCAAAGTTGTTACTATAGGGTAGGATGAATCCTACCTGTCATCGTTAAACTAAAAATCATTTTGAAAGTAATTCAGATTTAAGGAGCAAGATGTATAAACAATGGTCCAAGCAGCAAATGTGTGTGGTAGAAATTGAGAGTGTGATTGATGGAAGGAAGAGGTAGATCTGAAATCTGATAATCGCTTTTTCTGGAAATATAAAGTAGCAGAAAATGAACAGCGCAAAGAAGGACAAAGGAACAGAGTCTAATATGATTTTTTTCCAAAACGTCAAGTAAATTTGAGTCAGGATCGTTTTCAGGCATAAGTCTTCCAAAGCAATTTTTTTTCTGGGAACACAAACACAAAGAAATAATTTCTGGTACAATTTCATATTGTCATACAGTATGTCCACAGGTAGACCTTTGCAAAAATTGCCCTGAAAATATCAGTCAAGAGAAGAAAGAAGGGCAACAATGTTAATGTGGAAAAGAAAATTTTGAATTAGAAGAAAATTGTCATGAAAACAAAACAAAAAAGTTTTGTTACCATGTATGCATAAATACAAACCCAGTGCTACCAGAAAGTACATTCAGTTTTAGCTTCCTTGATGTTGATTTCTCCTCTCAGAAAGAGTTGTGATGATGTCAGAAGGTCTCTTTACATGAGTCCAGATCATGGGGCTTGGTTCACGAGGTGAAACTAAAAGAACATCAGTAACATCAGCATTAAACTGAACATTCAAAGAACAAATGAAATCCTTAGTTGGAAAATACATCAAGTGGTAACTTTAAGAATTGAATTAGTCGAAGGCAGAATTGACACAAGGGCAGATATAGATTCCTTCCTCTATTCATTCTCTGCACAGTGTTTGTGTATTTCATTTTGCTGCATTTATTTCTATTCTCAGGACCCTTATAATTCATTGGCAGAAGGTACGTTGCGTCAGCTGAAATGGAGTTTTCCTCTGTCACTAAAATCTTCATCATGTTTGTCTTACTAGAGATCCCTCCTTGCATATCTCACAGATTATTCTGCAACTATGTTTTATGGAAAAAAAAAAAAAAAAATTGCTGTTTTGAAAATACTTACTCTATTTTCTGAAACATTTAAGAGCATTATTAGTGCTAATAAGTTCCTTCATATTAACAGTAACACAGAGCATCTTTGTGCAAACTGATCATTCACCAATTTCTTCCAAGTTGCCTGGAAGGTCAAGAGTGTTTCTTGTTGTTGGTAGTATTTCTAAAGGAACATTGAAGAAGAATCCATACAACCTTTCTAAAACTGAATACAACACACACAGATTATATTCTGTAACTCAGAACAACTGTAGTTGATGTGAGGTAAAAGGAGGGGAAGATGTACTGTAGCAGTCAAATGCATTTCCAACACTGTGCATTAGGCACATGCATATTTCAGATGACGACATGGAAGGAGGTGTGTTATATCAGTGACTTCTCTTAGGAATATGATTCGTGAAGGAATTGCTAGTGAAAAAAAAATGAAAACAGACAAGTATGCAAATAAGTAATCATTTTTTCCCTCTGATTTTTTCTGTTTGGAGTCATCATCAACCTGTTCATCTTCATCTGGCAAAATCAGGACTGCCAATTTGGCTTAATGTTGACCTCTTAATAAAAGCATTGCTGGTAGGTGAAGGGAATATATATTTTGTCTCATGATTCAAGCTAAGCTTGTTCTCCCAGTGTCAAAATAAAAATCCATAAAGATTTAATGAGTTATAACTGGTAAGTAAATCTTACTAGGGGTAACACTGAAATTTTCTTTCCTTCAGGACTAGCACATTTTAAAACTGACCATTCATTGGTGTCAGAGATAATTAACTGGAGTTGCTTATTTTCTTCTCATTTTTTATTTACTCCACATTTTGCACATGCATAAAGCAATATTACTTGCTATTTAGTATTTATGACTCTAGAGAACTCTTACTGTGTTTATGCAGTTTTAGTTTTCTTAAAGATGTATCTCTGGTTTTAATAACATTTCTGTGTTTTGGGGAGCATAGTGGAACTGTAATATAGCAGGCAATCTCATTGCTGGGAACTTCTTGGATGGCCTTCAGCAAATTAGACCTTCTTCCTCTTCTTTTTTTCTTCTCTCCTGCTTTTAAAGTGGAGAATGGGTGCCGCACATGAGCTTTGCATTTCTTACTGTGCTGAAAATATCCTCAGCAGTTTGATCCATATCTTTAGAGCAACTAGTTGAAAGGAATACTTTCTTTTTCTCGTATTCTCTCCCTTTTTCATACTAGACATAGTGCATGATGGGATGTGATAATTGGGTCCAAAGGTTATAGTTTGTGACTTCTGGTTTTACTTCAGATTCGGACATTATTTTTGTGGCTTACATAGAGAAATCCATATCCACTTCATAGGTACATTCACAAGCTACTATTGTCCTGCCTGTTATATGAATGCCCTAAAAATAAAGAACATAAGGAAACATTTTTCTCACTGAAGATGCTTGAAGGTTGTTTCCCTTCTGTTCTTCAAGTGATGCATGTCACCCTGAAAGAGGAAGGAGAGGAGGAGACAATCTCAGTCTGCATTTTATTTCACGTAATGTCAATTCCATGAATGCTGTCCTTGCAGTCTACCAGGATAATCCCTAGGGGTTCAGATTCCTTTTTACAGTAGGCTAATGCTGCCGAGGAACTTTGACATTGCTGATAAATGATGCTACATAAGGGCAAAGCATTGATTTATTGCCTGCAGTGTTAGATTGAAATTTGTCTACAGACTTTACAGACTGCTGTTTATAGCCATGGTTTTCTGATGGCTGCTTCTGCTAAGAAAGAAAGTTGATGATGTGAAAGAAAAAGGAAAAGATACCATAACTTGGAAAATCTTAAATATTGAGGACCTGGAAAGTGGCGAGACGCCTTCAGTTACTTGACCTTGAAATGAGCAATGGAGGTGTGTACTGTATAAAATAAAAGCTCTTTGGGAGAGTTCCAGCAGGGAGATGAGTGGGTCAATTTACTGCTTGGCTCCTGCCTGTCTCCACTGCATTTCTGCATTCTCCGCAGCTCCTAATAACACTAGCCAAGTCCAGATAGAGGGGAGAGTTTCTCTCGTCTGAACTGTCCTATCTAGTTCAGTTCTACTGCATTCGATCTGAATTCTGTCACTGTGATACCCTTTATATAACCTCCCAATCAAAAATGAGACAAAAGTCCACTTTATTCAGATAGTTATTTCCCATAAGCCAAAATGAGATATTTCCATCATTTGTCATTGAGGTTATAGCACTTATTATGGAAATTTTATAATTTTTGACTTTTCTCTCTCTTTAGTTTTTATTCTATATTAGCACATGGAGAGAATTAAAATGACGCTTCTTTTTGATAGTTTATAACATAGAATGGGATCTCATCCAATTAATACAAATAATTACAAAAAAAATAGTTTTTTACTTCTAAAATATGAAAGTTGATCAAAATGTGTTAGCAACTGTTTATTGAATTATAATACTTACAGTCACCATTATAAATCACACCTTTGTTGTTAACAGAGCTGGCATCATTATTTGCATGCCATTTGTTGTGATTTATTTGTAAATAAATCCTGAAGACATAAAAAAAACATGTATATTCAGGAATTTTACTGGCTATGAGAAATTTAGAAACGGAGAGATAATATCCATCAAATCAACTATCTTTCATGCACTCTAATGACAGCTGTGATAAGATGCATTTTGGAAAATTATTTCATTTATGTTATTATTTGGAAGTGAGTTCATCTAATTTTAACGTTTTTTGTTTTTCAATACCATTATCTCTATTAATATTTTTGTTTGTTTTTTGAAGGAACTGTGAGCAGTTCTTTGCTTATAAGAGGAATACAAGGAATTTTTTTTTTTTTTTTGAGAATACATTTTGAAAGATTCATTTACTTTAAAACAAACAGAAGTATAGAATGGAACATAATAAATTGCTGTCCTTACAACTTCTCATGTGATTGGCTATCTGTGAGAGTGCACGTTCTGAACTTCTAAACATTTTTCCCATATGTGGTCTGTCCTACCACAGAATCACACGATGGCTGAGGCTGGCCATTAGGCCCAACCCCTGCTCCAGTGGAGACACCAGAGCACTGGGCCCAGGTCCACATCCAGGTAGCTGCTGAAAGTCCCCAAGGAGGAGGCTCAGCCTCTGTGCAACCTGTGCCTAGTAGAAATGCAAGCAGTGTAAAGCCCCAAGTCTCAACTCAGAAGTTATGTTCATACGTTGTTTATAATTGATCCTTTATTTCTTGTGCAATACCAAAGGAAGAAAAGTAGAATCCAGATACTTTCAGTAGATAATTAAGAATGCCTAAGCCTAAATGCACCAGAACCTGATACTTTGCCAAGTGAATTGCCTTGCTACTCACTATTTTTGAATCCTTCATTTTGTTATCTTTTTTCATACAGTGCTAGAACATTTACTTCCACTGAGAAATGCCATGTTACTATAATCAAAATAATGAACTTGTCCAATCTCATGTTCATTTCAACCGGAAAGAAAGTTTAAAACTTCCTTTAATTGATTCATTTGAATAAAGTCCAAAGGCATTATTTTAATAAAATAGAAACATTCTTTCTGATTTGGGGTTTACTTTTAACATTGTAGGAAAAATTCTATATTAAATAGGTGTGCTGGATTAAATTTAAAGTACATTATCATTTTTTTACATAAGCAAATAAAGAGTTGCTTGAATGGATTGACAAGGCAATTTTTTTTTATTGTATAAAGGACTAAGAATCAAAATGTTTCACAAAGGCATGTTGCTGCCATTAAGGATTCTTTTCAAAAACATTATTATAATATTGGAGTGTTTAATTTTACATTTTTGCATTGAGGCTTTTGACACTCTTCTGTTAGAAATCATGTTTCTGATTATTATTATTTTTTGTATCTGTGACAGTACAATAGTATTACTTAAATTAAGTTTAAAATAAATCGTCCAAATTGAGTGAACATTTTCAGTAGTTATGAGATTTTTTTAAGTTCTGTTCAGAATAGTCTAACATCATTTTCTGATACTTTTTTTACTTTGTTCAGTTCCATTTTCTGCTTCACTGAATGAAAATAACTTGTATTATTGAAATGAAAATAACTCAGCATTGCTAAATTAAATATTTCAATTAAAATAAACATCCCATTTCATTTTTTTAACAAATCTTTTTTTTTTTCAGGTAACGTTTTTGGGGGATGGGAGAGGTGTTTTGCTCTATGATCATAACATTCAGTTAAGTATGTTTGGATTTTCTACAAAGAGGAGATTTTATTTTCTGAACGACACAGAAACTGCTTGCAGAATATGTCCTATGAAGGTGCATAAAAATAGCATATTTACAATTGTTAAAATTTTATTATTTTGCCTGAAATTACATGTTGCAATGTCAACAAACTGTCACGTCCAATGGCAGCAACGAGGTGCAGCCTAACATGTAACACATGAGGACAAGGTGTAGAAGCAGCGATTAAAACACACATTAGTCTGTTTTAAGGCAGCTACCCACTCACTGTTATTTCTGGGAACAAATGTCAGAAGTGCTTACCGCCCAGCCTGCTCACAGAGTGGTGGGTGCTCCTTATCCTCTGTGACTGAAACTAATGTTGGCTTGCTGTACGTTTGCAGAGCTCTCCTTTTATTCCGAACGTGCTGCACAAAAGCCCTGCGCTTGGTGGCCACCTCTTGTTCCTGGAGCATGGATAGTACGAGCCTGGCAGGGCAGATTTACTCCATTTGCCCCCTCCTGTGAGGAATTCTGCTGGTGCTGCGCAAAGCACGCAGCAAGTGAACTGGGGAGAAAGCTTTCCATTGAACTTCAAGCATTATTTGCCTTCTTTATTTTTATACAGAAAGCTTGTGCTTTCTTAGATACCCTTCCTAGGACTCAAAACTAGAGCAAACTTGCTTATGACTTACTCCATCAGCTTTTGAGCATAACCTTTTAAGCCTTTGCTAAATGCACAAATTTCTTTCAGTCTGTGACCTGGGCTGCATTATTTTCCACTGTTTGTCTTACCTCCAGGGTACATTTAAATAATTGCCTAGTCAATCACAGCAACCAATTCTAATCTTGTTTCAGTATTATTTTGGCCTGTATAATTCATTCAGAGGAAAACGGCTCCCTCATCCCCAGCTCCTAGGAAACCTTTTCTGGTAATTCATATTGACAGCAGTGAGTCGTGACATTTATCGGTGAGGTGAAGCTGACCAGCTGCAGGGCTCCTGACTGATTAACTCAGCCAACAAGCTGCTCATGATTCCAGCCAAGTATTGACTTTTCTTTACTTTCCCTCCCCTCTAGTTGGAGAGAAAATATGGAGGAATTCTTTATCACTACATTTTTATTTTTACCAGTCATATGAAATTTACAAAATAGACCACAGAAAATATCTTTCCTTTAAGCTTTACTTTCTTAATGTAAAAGAGTATCAAATATATTTCAAAGAAAGCAAATCAGTGTTGAATTTAAAGTAGTTGAAATATAAAATAAATGAGCAGCTTTTATCTAACCTTATTGGAATCATTTACTTCAATAGTAGTGAGTTTCAGTCTTGTAAACAACTTGTCTGTAATCAAATGACCTTTGGGATGAAAAGCCCCTAACGTTTAAACTTAGCTCATTTTCATTCTTTCAGCCCAGAAGCACAAACTGTGCTTCAAGGTAGGAAGTATCTTTATTCTCATTTGTTTATGTGATTTTAAAGCCAAGAAACTGAGCTCAAGGATAGAGAATTTTGAATATTGCTCTGTTTTCAATCTACTCTAAAACGAACGTCTTTTTGTCAGGGCTTGGAATTGTCAGCCTTTCATCTTTAGTAGCAATAAAAAAATCCTGACTCTATATTTCAGCAGTAGTTGTCCCAGTCCCGCTTTCACGAAGGAAAATGTAAATTAGCAACTCTCTGGCGATTTTAACTGACGTCCATTTCTTTCCCTATATCTCCAGCATCAAGCGCATGGAATGAACAATAAAATATTTTATCATTAAAATGAAAGTTTTCATACAGTTCTTGACAAAGATAAGTGAAATTAATGTGCTTTTGTAAAATATTATTAATAACCTGTTTTTTCTGATGCGTCACATTTAAGAATCTTGAAATTGTGCTATTACTATTATTTGTGAGTTCACTTTTTCCATCTCTTTTATAAATCTGATGTGATTCCAGAGAACAGAAGTGATAATTTGATACCTTGAAGTCAAATATCAATAAATAACAGAAGGTATTGTGGCTAGCCTGCACAGTCATAAGATAAAAATTAGCATTAGCATATTCTAGCAAATATAATTTACTTTCTGCAGAATCATTAGATGAGTTTGCTAACTAACACAGTTGAGCTTCGTAACCCCTCCTGGCTCTCCTGGTCAGAGACAAAGAGTTTCAGCAGAGAAGCACTTCCCAGAAGGACTACAGATAACAGTCTAAGCAGTTTCTTTCACTTTTTGAGTACCTTCATTCTGGACTGACTTGCCCAAGTCACAGTCATATTTTAAAAAAGCCTAAGTATTTCTAAAACTGGCATATTCAAGCACCATTGAATTACTGAATCAGTCATTCTTGGCATTGAAATGTAAGTTCCATAATTGCTCTGATTGAGGAGATGACATTTCCAGAAATGGCAGTGAGCTAGCAAAGGACACAACACTGCTGGGAAGATAAGTCAAAGGTGACAAGACTATGCAGCTGCCAAAGAACAGGCATGACTTAGTACATCAGTGTTAGACCTAACTGCATTCAAGTGTTGAGTCTTGATGGAGACTCAAGTCAAACTCTTTGCTAATATTGTCATCAGATTTCTGTGATGTGCATTGCCTGGGATTAACACAGAGGCTATTACTGATGCCTTTCAACCTGATGGAAAGCAGCCAGAATTAGAGCTGAGAAGAACATAAAGGACAGGTAGGGAAAGAAGGTGGGCAAAATGGTTTGGCATAAATTAGTCACAAGGAGGCTTCTGACAGGAAGCAAAATAAACTGCAATTTTTATAATAAGAACTGTGGGATGGAGAAAATGCCCACTACCACAAACATTCTCATTTAGCTATGATAGAAATAAAAGGCATACAGAAACTTGAATGTTTGTGCTAAATTTATTAAACTTGTTGCAATATGGATCATCAAAATCAAAAATGATCACAGAATACATGGATATCAACCGTGTAACTGCGTGATATGTACACTGCCCTGCTTGTTACATAACTCTGTAGATATTTATACTTACATTTGTTCATTTTTTTCTGTGTAAAGAAATTGTCTAATCCTGTTCATAATTATGATGCAGTTATGTTTGAAAAATATTTGTGTATTCAGAGATAGACTCAGAAAAAAAGTATATTTTTAATCTGCAGTTAGAGCAGGTCCTTAAACAGCAAAATATATTAGTTTGCCTGTATGAAATGTTGTGATTTCTTCAAATAAAATTGTAAAAAACACCTTTTGTCATTCCTCCCCAGTGCATTATGTTGTGACAAGTCAGTCATGTTACATAACATAATGTGACTGATACCAAATGGCATGTAAAAGATTTTCTCTCTTTTCCTTTTAGAACAAGGATCCTGTGCTACATATAGCTGGACTTTGTGGGGGTCTTTTCTATCTCTTTAAACAGAGAGAACAAAGGAATGCCCATTTTGAAAGATCTTCCATAAAAACTGAGTGTCATACTATTGTTAAATTTTTAGTTTACATCTGTATTCTAAAAAGTATATTCAACTTTGAAATGTATGCTTTTTTACTACTTTCTCTACTGTTTTGTGAGAAGATTTGTTTTAGGCCCTATAGAATAGGCTTTGAGAAACTTAAGCATGTAATCCTGTGTGGCTCAAAACATCACATGGTGAGGTGCGTACTGCATTGTTAGTGACCCACTAGATTGACCCAGTTACTTCTCTGCACGGAGAGCAACAGGAGAGAAGGAAGAAGGAGGGCACTGAGAAGGCACTAAGAAAGGGAGGGCACAGCAGGCAGGTAGGATAATGATAGGCAAATAGCTCCTTCCTTCTCTACTTTTAAAACTGTTGCTGTTTTGGACGCCCTGAAGCCAGTGTGTGGAGAGAGATTCATATTTTCAGAATGTTCCAAGGAATCATCTCACCTACCATAAATTAATCCACTACAATTTAATCCAACTGCTGTGTAATCCAACTGCACTTAACAGAGTTATCCAAGGGATAGCACTGGCCCATCAGCATAATTGGTGTGGGTTAAGTAGCATGAGAAACCAGGTTAACCAGAGATTTGCTACCTAACAGCGACTGGTTTACAAAGAGTTAAAAAATTAAAGCAGATTAGTCTTACCCTCCTCCCTAAAAGTAAATTTTCACTGATTGTCTCAATGAAACCATTTTCTTACTCACAGAGCAGCAGAAGCAGATCAAAGAAAGCTGAGAAAAAGGAGAACAGTGCAAGTATGAAAGAGTAAGACAAAAACTCAAGAAACTTCCAGTTTCACATTTAAAATAAATAAATTAATAAATAGTGTTCATTTTCAATGAGATACTTTTGCAGTTGCAAAATCTTTTCTGAGATTTAGCAAATCCAAACCCCAAATGTCTATGCTTACATATTAGCACTATCAGTGACATGAGTTTTTAGTCACAGATTTCAACATGAGCAAATATGGAATGTAACTTATTTTAAAAAAATTAATCGGAGAGAAAGTGAATTAGCCCCAAAACTCTCATATTAATGCAAAGTACATCAATATGACAAGGTAATAATAAAAGATTGTTTCTGAAGTGAGACATTGTGAAATGGTCAGTTAATAGATACTTAGTTTCAATAGCACACTCTCATAACTTTGGAAACTAAGATCATTCTTATTCTTTCTTTTGCCAGAACACTTCAATTAGATGCCAGAAAGCCATTAAATACCTAAATTACACTGCTGTCTGAATATGGGGATTACTATCTGGATCTATCCAAGGACTTTGCCAGAAATGCATCCTGATCCTGATAAAACTCAAGACTAGATAAGATTGGAAAATAAAACCAAGGCCTACATTCCCAAATGTGAGATAATGGAAACAAAATTCAGATCAGCTTTTTATAAGACATACTAAGTTCTTGAATTTTCACAAATGCATTTAGATACCAATGCATTTTGGCTGTCATGCTTTACTGTGCTCCCTCAGCAGTCTTGGTAATAACTCATACCTATTCCAACTCAGCAGTGATCCAAACGAGTGCAAATGTCTGTTTCAAAAGCAAGAATTATTAAAAAAAAAAAAAAAAAAAAAGAGAATTTCTACAGTATTCTGCCCAGGAACACAACTGGCATCCTGACACATCTCTATCCCATGCACGTTCAGTTTTATGTAAGGCTTACTCCTGGATTAAGGTGCAAGAGCCAAGATTGGTTATGTCTTCATTGCATTCCAGTCTATTGAGAGTAGACTCCATTATTTAGGGCTTTAAGGACCCATTAGTAATTCACTGGCTGTGTAGTATACAGCACTTGAATAGAAAAATCAAACTGGCTACAGTCTTTACACTGAGAGTTAATAGTAACCGTGACATATCTAGGCACAAAAAGAGGGAAAGTTTATATATGTTACGTCAGCTAAGTGCACAGTTATATAAAGCCATGTTTATTCTGTATATGAGTCTGCTCATTCAGAAATGAGAGAATGCTCCCTTTTGAACGGTAACAAATGAAAAGCTGATTCTTGGAAAGAAAAACTGGAAGGCACCAAAACTGTTTGTGGATTCAAATGCATTGCAGGGTCAAACAGATTTGAATTTCCTTAATCTCTTTGGTTAAAGATTAACTAAAGGCCAATTGTGTACCTATTTGGAAGCCGTGTATTTATTTGGAATATTAACTGAGTCTTAAGACAGGAAGAATGAAGAGTTCCTTCACTAAAAGATGATAAAGCTTAGCTGCTCAATATTCTTATTGCTTAACCAAACTAGAATTATATAGCCTTGACTGATTGCAAGGCACAGAATTGCAGGCATGAATAACATTGTAAAAATGGAACTCTAAAGCAAGACAGTAGATAAAATAATCATGTTAGTATGTAAATATCACAGACTGAGGCGATTATGTTGCAATGTTTCCCAAACATTATATTTCATGAGTTTGATTCAATTAAAATTATTTCAAAGCTTTCTAAGTGCAAAAAAGGACACTAAAGGCCAGTAGAGTTATGAAAATTGGTTTCACAGATGGCTGGCTTGCTCTCTAAGAAAATCAGACTGTCTTCAGAAAACTTCTGAAGTGGCCTCATAGTACATTAAATTTTGCAGAGCTGATACAAGGTGAAGAGGACAACCATACAATTAGTGCCAAAGAAGCTGGCTAGGGAAAAGGATCTTTCATTTGAAGCTCTTTCTCAGATTCTCAACAAATTTGTACTTTTGCAGAAAAGCAATCACATTTTGAAACTATGTCTTCTAGAGATAGCCTCCTCCGTAGCTTACTGTCCAATTCATCACATTTTAAATACCACACGTCAGATTCCAGTCACGTAGTTTCACATATCATGAAGTAAGGAGTAGAGCACTTTATAATGGAATAATTATAAAATTGGTGAAAATCTTGTGTGAAAGTAAAAAACTTTAGAAAACCCACAGATTTCATGAATAAAGTCAGCCAAAAATATACCAAGATTTCATCTATAAGATGGGTGGCAAAATGTGCTTCACCTAGAATTTGGGTTGCTTATTTTATGAGTGCGTGCAGAGGGAAAGCAACATTAAGTTGTTTCGTATTCTTTTAGATGAGGCCTCAAAGTTTATAGTCTGTTTGGAGAGGAACCAAAAACTGCTGAAATTTTCTTAGGGGTAAACTTCCATCATGATGGGGTTTCTGTCCTTCTCCTTTCCTCAGTATGTTAAATTTCTGTTTGCTTACCTTTCTCTTCTTAAGGATCCACACTTGAATAACAGGCTTACTAGAGTTGTTGGCATTATGCTTTGGAATTTTCCAGGACAAGTGTCACTAACTACATGCATTAAATAATTACAAAGATTAAACCATCAATATTGAAACACTCTGGTGGCATAAATGTTTATAAATGTGTTTAAATACATATATTCATATATGTATGTCTTTACGTATGCGTGTAAATATATATGCATGCATATATAGGTGTATGTACAATTGTTAATATTTTATATAAATAGTAATAAATATGTTTCATACCTGCCAGGATGACAGGAGGGGGCTGTGCCACTCAATTGCCCAAGTCTCTCTAACTGTTGAATCAGGTGCAAGTCAGGTTGCAATTTATAGTGTTTAATACGTTTCCTGTAAACGTGCAGGAAATGTTTGTTTGAAGTTCTGAAGGAAACAGTATTGATGTTCGCAGAGATGCGACAAACTACTTGATGAAAGAAATCATTTTCAAGAAAGAGTCCTATGGGAGAAAGAGAGCCTGTTTATTTACACAAAGATCAAAGTAACTTTCATATGAATTGAAGCTAAATATTTAGTACTTGAGCTACTAGCAAAGAACACTCTAAACTTCTGAAGGAAAGAATAAAAAGCAGGAGACAAATCCTGATATATAAATATATATAAGTTCTCTATTAGGAAAAAAACAACAACGCTCTTTTTGTTATTTGAGTTGCAGTAGTGTCTGGGGTCCAACTTGAGATCAGAGGCCCACTCTGTCACATTATGTACAAACACTTAGTAAAACAAAATCTCTTTTCTGACAAGCATATCAACTAAATATACAAAGGTCAAGAAGAACTAATGTGAATTCCATTGTATGAATTACACTTATAACTTCCAGAAAGGTACATTAAATGAAATTGTCATGAATTAAACCAAGTGTAATTTACTTACTGTGTATGTTAAGCAAATCAAATATGAACTAAAGAACCTATATATTAATTAATTATGATTAAAATGATTAAACTTCCCTTAGTTTTCCTGATTGTATTCCCATTTTTTCTTCCATCTAAACCAAATTTAACTACGTCAGTCAAAATGAGTGCCGAGTTTCCTTACAAAATAACGTAGTATCACAACAGAGGTAATTCAGTCACAGACTAATCAAGCACGAAAGAAGTGATGGGAAAAGTGAGGGATTTCTCCTTGCTGTTCATAATCAAGAGTAGATATCCATCCAGCAATGGAAACCATCTCTGTGTGGGTTCCCAGCAACTTCAACATGACCCAAAATATCTGCCTCCAGCTGGCAAGACTCTCAGTCTTTCTCCATAAGGATGATTTCTGAAGTCTGGGGAGAAACCATGCCAAAACTGATGGATATATCCGACTGCCAGTTTTTCTGCAGCTAGGGAGGGAGAGAGCTGGGAAATAGGCCAAAGGTATGTATTTCCTATAGTTCATCACCTTCTTCCCAGTCCCTGGCTGCAGATCCCTAGGCCTCTGGAAATCAGTTACATTAGTGACTTTGGACCGTGGTTAATCTGGAGCAAGGCTAAATTCACACTTTCTCAGTTCTTAGAAACATTGTCTTCCTATGTGTAATATAATTTATGCTCCTGAATACTCCTCATTTTTGTAATACTTTTCCCAATAGCTCAAGTGTACCCTTACCATCTGTCACATGTGGTCTGTTCTCTCTCTTGCACTTTATTGCTACCTATATAAAATAGCATATAAAGAGTAGAAATAACAAGGTAGTTGGTTGAATGGAATAAATAAGGTGAAAAATTGAAGACACTTAGTAATAGACATGAAAAAAAAAACCTATTTTCTTTCTGTACCTTCACAAGTTTAAAGCAATCTACAGCCAATGTATCTATTTTTTTTTAAAGATGAATGATTTTCTTAAAAACTTATTTAGTGAAGGTTTTTCTCTCTGTGTGAGAGCTTATTAGAAAAATAATTTAATAAAAACTGGACTATTAAAACAAAACTTACTTTAAATACTCAACATCAGGATACTAGTAAGAAAAACTGAAGAGATTGTGTATTAGTCTTACACATAATTTCAGGTATAGAGAAACAGTGAGCACAGAAGAATTGACTCCCTTTCCTTCTTTGCAGTGCCTAATGGGATCGTGTGCTCCTCTGTTCTAGAACCTATAGAATTGTGAAGTCCTTGCATTAATCCTATGGGTGACCTAAGATGAGCTCATCTGTGTGTCAAGGCAGAGTGTGCCAACTGTGGCCAACTGTGCGGTGCTTGCTCACTTAACTCTGAAAAATCCAAAGCATTCAAGTTTCCACATTTTCCCTTAGTAGCTCAGTCTCATTTTATTGTCAGAAGGGCTTTCTTGAAATCAGTTGATTTTTTTTTACCTTTACCATTTCATCTCATTTTGTCATGTAACATTTCACTTCCTGGCAGTTAGCTTAAAAGCCACAGATAATTGAGATGATAGGCACTTTTTCACAGAAAAAAAAAAAAAAATTGTGTGGTTTTGTTTGTTTGTTTTTAATAAGACTTCATTGCTGTCAAAATGCTTCATACTATTATGTATATTTCAATGCAATTTGAATGGTAGGATTTCTGAGGTCACAGGTGAAATACATGGCAAGTCTAAAAAGGCATCTGTAGGCTGATAGAAATTAGAAAACTAATCAGTACACAAATGAAAATTCCCTTTTGAAGAATTTTTGTCATTGTTTTGAATTCAAATTATAACAAAAACAAAAAACAAAAAACTGCTAGTACAATCAAATAAGCCAACTGTTACATGAGGATTTTATTTTCTTCTTCATCAGTAATCATAGAACCACAGAACATCCTGCGTTGAAAGGAGCACTTAAGGGTTACTGAGCCCAAATTCTGGCTCCACTCAAAAATCAGACCATACGTCTGAGAGTGTTGTCCAAACATTCATTGAACTTCAGCAACTTGGGTCTGTGACCACTTCCCTTGGAAGCCTGTTCCATGCCCCTCTCACTCTGGCAAAGGATTTTTATTTTATCTCCAATCTGACCCTCCCCTGACACAGCTCCATGCTGTTTCCTCTGGTCCTCTCTCTGTCACCAGAGAGGTCAGCACTGCCCCTCTGTTCCCTGCAAGGAGCTGTAGGCCACTATGAGTCCTTCCCTCACCTTCTCTGTTCCAGGCTGAACAAACACAGCGATCTCAGCTGCTCCTCATACATTTTGCCCTTCAGACCCTTCACCATCTTTGTAGCCCTCCTTTGGACACCCTCAGATAGTTTTTTGTCCTTTTTGTAATGCGGCACCCAAAACTGCACACATTGGTTGAGGTGAGGCTTCACCACTGCAGTGTAGAGTGGGACAATTCTTTCCCTCGACCATCTGGCAATACTATGTTTCATGCATCCCAGAATATGGTTGGCCTTCCTGGCTGCCTGGTCACACTACTGACTCATGTTCAACCTGCTCTCCCTCTGGGACCCTCAAATCTCCTTCAGCTGGGCTTCTCTCCAGCATCTCATCCCCCAGTCTTTTTGTACTGCCATCACTGCACCTTCCCAGATTGTTCTTGTCAAACGTCATGTGTTGATGATTGCATAGATTTCTATTTTCTCTATGTTTGTCTAATACTTGTACAGGATAAGTACTAATAGTGTTTCTTTTCTGGATTTGGTCCTCCTCGGTATGTTCATTAATGACCCAAAAGAACAAGAGAGCAGCATTACTACAAAAAACAGATTCAATTTACTGGAAGGGACTGAACAAATGTCAGAAGAGAAGGATGGAATTCAAGATGACATTAACAAACTACAGATGGAACATAGATAGAACATATGAAAACATTCAGCAGGAAATGCAAGATGCTATACTTATGCTGGATTATTTAACTACATAAATACAGTACGAGGAATAAATGGCTACAAAGAGTTCTATTTAAAAAAAAAAAAAAAAAAAAAGATGAGTCAACAGTATCATATTGATGTAAAAAAAGGAAAAAGCATAGCATACATATAGCAGGATGTATAAGAAAAAGTATGACTGAAAGGAAATGTGAAGTAATCCTTGTGCTCTGTTCAATGCTTTATTCAACACTACAACTATAAATGGAATAGTGTGTCTAATCCTAGGCGCTACACTTCACTAAACTCATAGATCAACATAGACAGTCTAGAAAAAAAGTACAGAAAGAAAAGATCGGAGGTTTTTTAAAAAATGGGCTATGAGGAAAGACTGAAGGAAATGATAATTTGTATAATTTGTATAATTCAGAGAAAAAACACCAAGGGATGGCATTTGCTTTAAATAACAGTTAAACAAACAAAAGGGATGAAATAATTTCTTCAAATATTTTTTTCCTCCTAAATCTCATGATTTCAACCACTGAAGAAAATTGCACTGTGGAACAGAGAAATGAACCAAAAATACATTATATCTTATAAAAATAAAACTATCTCTACCTTTACAGAACATTTATTTTAGGAACTTATGGGCAGTTGAGACAGAATGACAGAGTTTATGTAGGTTAAGAACATTTTAAAGTTTACCTGTACTATGTACAGTACATCTGCAACTTCCTTTCACTCTAGATATATTTTCAGAAAACAAAAATCTCCAAATTATTGAAAGTTTATTGAACTTTGAAATTACATTCAGCATTTCCATCAGTTTTCCACCATGAAAATCTCCATAAAGAATAAGTGTAACTAATGTTCTACTTATTTGAAAATAGTCTGAATTTCACCATCGTTGTGAGAATGTCTTGAGAAAAATGATTTTCACAATCATTTTACAATTAAAAAAATAAAGATGAAACAATGTTACATGAAATTAATACCTCATATATAAATATCATAACTTCAGTAAAAGGGATGTATTAGAGCACATGAAAAATTTAATGTTTTATGTCTGTAAAATCCCCATTTTAATTGTTTTGTAAAGCACAAAATCAGCAAGAATAGATCTTAAAAAAAAAAATCTTGAGTGATTTTGCACTATATGCCACATATATATATCTACATTATCTTCTGAAATATACTCCAGATTACAATGTTAGTTTTCATGGACCTCAAGATAAGAAAGTTAATTGGTAACAAAACATCAAAATTTTGAACTGAAGAAGTACAAAACATCACTCCAAATGGGGCACTTAGTAAATACGACATAGACAAAGTTAATTTCTGCTTCTCTTTGAGACATTGTGAGACCCAGAGGAAAAGAGACTCTTATTCCTTCAACTAAGAAGAACTAGCTGTCTGATGATACTAACTGGGTGAAAAGCAAAACTTGAGAGCAGCAAGTAGTGAAGCAGAACTTGAGCACTGCTTCAGAGGCAATGTAAAAAAATTGCAGTGTTCAACAATCTGCAAAGATTCTTCC